CGACAGAGTATTATGTCCTACTGATTATATAGCTGCAGCCCAAATAGATGTGATGGTAGCAGCCAATAGGCGACATCACCTAAGTGGACATTACCAACTCACCGCGACCTTTGTAGTTCGACCAAGAGTCAAAAGTGACATGAAAGACCCAGTCCATCAAACCATCCCAACTAACGTGTTTTGCCCTGGAAAGAACGAGGCTAACCCCTATATGGTTCCTAACGATCTACAGGAGCTGATAAGAAGGATCCAAAGACTACCCCAAACAGATGAAGTTGAGTTTGTGTCCACCCTTTGGTCTTGGTGGAGACAACAACCTATTCCATCGGATCATCCTCGAATTCCCGAGCATGAACTTCTGCGGAAATTCCTTAAAATTCGAGCTGAGGTGTTACACGTACCTGCAAAACAATTCCATGCACTTCAGACTGCCACTTACCATATATTTACTTCTAACGGGGTTAGTGAGCTATATCCAGGAAAAATAACAATTCGAAGTGATCTGTTGAAACAGATTTTTGATTTTCTAGACCAGATCACGATGACTCGGCAATATCCCGCTCTTGAGCAGGTAAATCAACAAGCCAGAGGTATCGGCAATAACATTACGTTTTGGAATCGGTTGCGATCTATTTGCCCCAAGGGCGTCATCTATAATGGGCCGATCCTCAATCAGCAGGGAGAACAGTGCACCACCTCCCAGATGCTGGACGAAGACATGCTGGACACGCGGAACTTTTGGTTTGTTAAGCCTCAAGACTCTCTTCAAGAATGGGAACCCATTTTACGGGAGTACCAGACTGCCTCACCGTGGCCAAGTATTGAACTTCCCCAGAAACAGGACTTTCTCCATACACTCCTTGGCACTAAAGATTCAGCCCCTGGCCCCGATGGAATCCCCTACTCTGCATGGAGGCTCTCCCCTGAAGATAGCTACCCAGTCTTAGATCAGCTAATGATGAAAATGCTAGCAGGCCTACGAGCTGCACCTGTACAAGTAGGGGTTTGGATACCCAAGGCAAAAGTAGGTCCGACTGCTGACTATTTCAGGCCCTTAGGAATGCCCAATACTTGTGATAGGCTTGTTGATGGCACCATTGCTGCTGTAGTCATGAAAGCAACTTGTGCATATATGCATCCCTCGCAAGTAGTCATTAAAGAACCGCAGCACGCTGTCCATGCCATACAAGCCTTACTGGATAGCAATACTCCCGTGGCTGCGCTACTAGTTGATCTATCAAAGGCCTTTGAGCGGGTTAATCCCTATTGGATCTTACATATCCTGCGAATGCGCAACGCACCGACATGGGTATGTAATTATGCCAAATACATCCTATTTGGAAGGCTCATCCGCCATAAAGTTCAAGGCAGACTTCTGCCGCCTAGGGCGGTGCATGTGGGAGTTGACATGGGAAGGTCTTTCTCAGTGTTCCTATTCTGTTTGGCAATGGACCCGATATATCACTATATGAATCGTATCCCCCGGGTCCTTAGCGTTCAGGGATACATTGACGACAACACGATTGCAGGACCAGGACATGACATTACCTGGGTAAGTAGAGTCCACAAATGCTATCAATGTTGCTGGTCGGCAGGTTTTCAAATTGACCATCATGCCTGTTGGCAAGCTATTAGCTCTGACTGTCTCCCCTTTTCAGTCCAATCCCTGCCTGGGCGGATCGAAAGTGAAGTTATTCTCCGGCAGAAGAAATACCCCACCGCACGAGCAGCGATCTTATCGGCTATCCTTTCCCAAAAGACACTCATACTTGCACGAGCCGACAAGTGTATAGGGCTGACCCCTCGAGAAGCTTGCGGTATCCTCAACGGAACTGACTATACACCCATATGCTCATTGTTGGCATTGGAGTGTAACTGTAGGTGCAAAACAGCTTTAGTAATCAACAGCCCGCTTCCAAGCTGGGTGCTCCGTCAGTTAGATCAGTCAGGTTTCGGGGCACACTGCATCCAAGGTGTTGCGACCTCACTCGGGCTATTACTACTGGGGCGTGCCCAATTGTCTGATCGTGACTTATGGACAGTAACTACACACCCTACTACCCTTAAACAAATCAATCCTAAAGCTGCCGAAAAGTTTATACATCGGCTCAGGCTGTTTCGGCAACCAGTCCTCTCGGTTGTCTCTAAGAGCATTGCTTTCAATACGTTTGCACAAAGTGTGGTACTATACACTACATCCTATTTTGGTGCTGCCACGGAAGATCTTCAAATGCTACGCGCGGCAGCAACGGAACTCTTACTAGGACGTAGTTGGATTAGACATGACCTCCTTGCATTTGTATTTCGACTGTGTAAAATTGCACCACTACTTGGCCCGGGTGTAAGTATCCTTGTTTCTGCATTAGGGCTATTTCTGCGAAAAGGAGGAAAGGTTCATGAACTTTATGTTGAAACTCCACCGGCAGTGAACAGACAAACACACGAAGTTAGGATACTATGGCAAGCGTGGGCACGTGTCGTTGGGGAAGGTGTCCTAACAAGAGCTGTGTCAGGAAGTGGTACAATCAAACAACGAATAAACGCAGTCAAAAAATGTGTGCTCCATCACATGATGCAACTTGCATCTCACTATATTCGTAATAAGGTGCTAACAGTAGGATGGACGGGAGGAATCAGCTGGGCATGGCTCAGTCATGCTTGCGAGGCCAACAAGCGATGGATTCCTAGTATTACTAGGTTCACCTTGTTACGCTGGGCAGTCAATGAGGATGATGATGAGTGGTTAGCACGACGTGGCCAAAGCCGACAAAAAAATTGTGCTCTCTGTGCAAACTTTGGCCGTGCATACCCACTCGGCGGCTATCAAACCGCAATTTGTGAAACATGTATAGTAACCAAACAGCTGACGGCCTTTACGACAGACTCCCTTGTCAGACTGCTTGAGACATCACACAGAGAACTCCCTATGCAAGAAGAATTGCCAGCAAGTGAAGACTAAGCCAGCTCAAATCACTTAAAAAAGTGATGCTTGGGGGCCCTTCCCGGGCACCATGACCAGGGGGTAGCCTAGGTACCTTAGATCGCCTATGTAAGGCCTAAGTAGCCTTGGGCCAGTCTTGGGGCCACAATGGTTTTTATCGATGGCAGGCCAACTCAGAACTATAACAGCCTTTTATCATGTCGCATTTATGATAGTGGGAAAGATGTTTATGTATATATTTGTATATAGTCATAAAAGAATATAATGTAGATATATAGCTGTCTTGAAAATATGTTTAGGTACGATGATACAATGTAAATATGTATATGTATATATATATATGTGATGTTATACTTATATAATCTGTGTAAAGCTCAAGACCACATGATCAATGATCAGGGTAGAATATATATATAATCAAATATAATCAGTTACTGCATCGTCTGTATTGTCCACTGATCCAACTCATCGACTCATCAGATTGTTTTCGCGGTTTTTGTTTCTAGATGTCTCTGTTGGTTGGGGTGACACAAAGCTTCCCCCACTGCTTTTTGCAGTTGGTTCTGGATGAAGAGATGTAGAATCGAAAGTTGCCTCAGCACGGGCAGCAGTGTGCTAATATCTTTTGTGCCATGGCCATGGCTATGGGTGAGCAGGTGAAGTATGGGTTGTCAGCAAGACGTCATGTTATATAGTTTACCCAGTCCCCATTGGTCCTGGTTCAATTGGTCTCTCTTTTCACTGAGCAAATTGCCACATCGATCTGGAAAGTTCTTCCGCTCGTGTGGTGTGCAGGTTTGTAACGGGATCAAGTACAACCATCTTGGCTGTATCAGCTATTTCCACAACTAAAGCAAATCGGTCGATCCTTGAAAGGCAGCCGCCCCATGCAGCCAAAGAGAATCAGACGCGGCCACTTTGACATATCTAATGTAAATCATCAGCAAAAGCCGAAGCGCTGATGAGGGAAGAAAACCGAACTCGGGTTCTGGCTCTCGACTCTTAGGGTATAAACCCGACTGCAAACCACAAAGCCATTGATGTAGGTTTTTCCAACTACTGTAACGAACTAATATGAATATGACTAAATGTATATATATATATATTTATATATAGACATATAATGGGAACAATGGGGTCCATATAAGGAAATCAAGTCTAAAGAAGACAGCTTGGAAGAGTTTGACCATTGCATTACAAGACACTCCCGATAATCTGATTTAAACCAATGCCAAACAAAACTTTCAAAACCTCAGTGTAGCGTAAAGTAAGAGTCGTATTATTGACCCATTATTGACCCTACCTGTTCCCAAGTAACAAGTGTTTCTGTTCAGGCAGTGATAACGATAGGACGATTGGATGTGACGAGCGGATGTGACGAGCTCACATGTGTGTTCTTTCGGTCTGAGCCATGCCTAGGACTCAACAAAGCAACCCCCGCGAAACTGTGTGACAGGTGATAGGTGTGTCTTTTCTAACACCAGCACACTGTGTCATAACATCTTATGTTGAGTTGGCTCAGAAATTCATCATGTCATGGGAGGCGGCTAAATCACTTGACCAAATGAGCCACTTCGCGAGCAACCTTCAAAGCAGGCTGCGTAATGTCCTTGTGCGCCTTTTCACGTGATGATGAGACACACCCCACAGCACCACGTTTTTGCGTTCCATTGTCCTTGTTCTTGTCTTCGTCAAACTGTACATCATCATCATCCAGTCCCAAGCCCGTCTTGCGCTTTTTGACTGTCTTGAACTTTTCACCGGGCCTTGGTCATGTTATGCTAGATAAAACAAATAGATTCTCAAAGGTCAGCCCGGGACTGACGGGTGGTGGATAAATAAAAATAAAAGACCGCCGCACCGAAGGGGCCGAGGCGTGTTAGTTTAAGAGCGGAGCCGATCGATTCGAACAATCCTCTGTTCACTGGTAGAGCTTCAGCTGGGGAGGACGCCAAAAAGTGCAAAGGACTGTGGTAATTTACATATTTTGCAGATCACATGGCCGCAACATGTGCAACTTTGGCCAACAAGAAGGGTCCAAGAGCCGAGACACAGCAGCCCCCTCGACAACACAGCGAACTTCTTGCCGTTGATCGTTTCCATTGGGCATATTCCGCCATGCTTCGACTCAGGAACCAAGCAATTGATTGACATTGACAACTTGGCACCTTCCCATTCAAAGTCCTTGCTGTCAGCCTTCCATTCCAAGGAGAAGTGAGTAGAGTCGTCAGGCACAATGGGCACCATCCATGCACAACATGGCGCAGAGCAGTCCAAAGTTCCATATGATGAACCGTCAACGGCGAAGTTCATTCCACCTGGGCTTTAGCATGAACAAAACACCAAATACCCATTTGTCCATTTGCAAAATGAGTTGATGGGATTTAGTGGGACTGGGTTGTGGGCACCACTTTTTTTTGAAAACACATACATAACTACAAGTACAAGGTAACAGGTATAGATTTGAAATGACCTGGGACATGTAAAGCTGTAAAGCTGTAAAGCTGACGGATACTATCCATCAAGCCTGAAATGAGTCGATGTGTGAACATAAACCGGAAACATGTTGAACCTAAACATCATCAAGCTTCCAAACTCTCTTCCATCGTCGGAAAGCAGGTTCATCGGAAGCATGGTCACCGGCTTTCCTGGACCACGTTGGGTTTGGGCTTTCGATCTTGTGTTGGCTGTAGAATCTTGCACGTGCTCACCTACCAATGCAGATGCAGAAGCCCGAAAATAACTAAACTACCCAACAACCAAATAAATAAGCAACTAAGCCCCAACAGCTAAAATGTACCCAGTGCTACGTACATGAAAACATAAAGTACATAGAATTCAGCATAGATTGCACATAGATGACAGCAAATTAAAGCATAACTTCACATTGGCCATCATTGGCGTTACATACATCACAAACTACAAACAAACTCCCAAAAAATAAGAAATCGCTGAAGCAATATCATGGCACAAACTGTCCCAAAGAACGCCACTTTGAAGTCCTTCGGAATCCGAACATAGTCAATGGTCGTCTTCTTGGCAATGGGCACGATGTTCTCCAAAGCTTCTGTGTCGGTAAGTTCCAGCAACACTGTCGGCTTGCACCCTCCAAGAGCACTTGGCGATCCCTTTTTTGAACCCGTCGCTGATTCGGATGCTGGTGGCATCTTCACATGTAGGCGTTTGGCCCACGCGCTCGCCATGTCACAAGCCCACTTCAAAAGAACGCTCTGCATGTGCAGCTGCAGAGAAAGCAATCGATCACTGGAAATGACATCTGGAGAGCATCCAAATGTCAGCAACTCATTCCATGAGAAGAGTCTTGGGTTGTCAGCCCCCTGATCTGCATCATCTTCTGTGTTGACACCGTCAGCAGATCGAGCTCCGTCACCAAGCACCTTCTTGCCAAAGCTGTTCACAGGCTTCACACCAAGAGTCGTCAGTATCGATTTGACATCAAAGTCAGACCGTGTAGCTAGATCTGTGAGGGCCGCAGTCCATCCACTGCACATGAGCTCACTTGACATCAAGCAACTGTCCAGGTTTGATAGTAACTCCAAGGTGGCTGGTATGATCAAGGCGTTGAACAAGCTTTTCAAGTTCTCGGATGTGTGACTCACCAGGGAAATGAGGAGCTGCACGACATACTGGGCGCGCACATTCATCAATGTGGTGGCATCAGCTGCAGACAAAGAGAAGTCATCTGGTTCACCTTCAAATACTTCTTTGGGAACTTGCCATCCTGAATTTTGCATGGGATGATGGGCTGATGGACCAATGTGTGTTAGATATTTGTTGTGATGATGATGAGGACCTGATCTAATGATCGATGAAGATGAAGATGATGAAAAAAGACGGGTGGAATCATACTGGACATAGTCGTGGGTTTCTTGGTCTCATGTTATCCCATGTGTTGCCCCCGGTGTATCTTGTCAATTCCATCAACTAGTAGTAACTACTAACTAATCAATACCTAGTACCATCAAATAGTTAATATTGTTAGATCGATCATAACTAAGTGGTTTGGTGAACATAAACATTGAACAAGTAGTAAGATAGCACCGGTTTAGCAAATCCAAGTATTCAGCTTAGCTAGCTAAACAAACCGAAGCCCTGCTTTGAAACAAATGTCAAACTCAACCCAGTCCTGCAGAAGTCTCATGTGCAAACAAGTTTGCAAATGCCATGAACTGGTCACCGAAGATCTCGTGTACGTGTCGCGTCACTTCCCAAACCAGATCTGAAAGGTTGACGGTGGAAGCATGAAGAGAGCATGATGATGAGTTTGACAAAGCTAACCCATCTTTGGAACCAGTGGAGCAAGTACAGGACTGATAGCTGATCGCAGCCTTGATCTTGCCAAAAGTTGCATGGTGAACAACCTTGAACGGATCTGTGCTCTGGAGAGGATTTGAAGTCTCACCATCGATCCACTCCTTGATGGCTGGCAACCATGTCTTCAACTTGTCCTGCTTCGTCATCTTACTCTCGTCAAAAATCTCCTCCGTGTGCAGCGACACTGCTGCCTCAAGATGCTGAAGACCAGAGACTGAACCAGCAGCTGCATCGGCCCTCAGGGCAGATTCCATCAAGCCCTTCATTTCCTATACAGGGACGGGAACACATGTATGTCATGTATGTATTGGCTGATGACAATGTGTGATGTTCTGTTGGTAAGGTGAACGTAATAATTTGAAAACACAAAGTGCCAACATTTGTGGGTCAAACTCATGTAACACATGTGCTTTGACAAAGTGTCATGTCCTGCAACAGATGCCACGTGGCAAACTCTTTCAGCACGGGTCGCAACACCGACCATTTCTTGTACACCTTGGTTCCACGTGATGTAGTCAGTCTGACACTGCCGGTGAAGCAGAAGAGCATGCACTGGCGAATCATGACACTCTTGAGATCCTGCAAGTTTGTGGCCTGACCACACAGTTTCGAAAGGTGGTTGATGATGTGGTTGCAACATGACAGCATATCATCCACCCATAGCTTCGAGCGGACCCCCACTTTGCAAGTCACCACGGTAGCCTTGACATCTTCCTCTTCCGGTAGATTGATCGATGGTGGGGCATTTGGATCACTTCCACCACTGCCACGTGCCTTCGCCTTTGCCCTCTTCTTTGGCTGCCCGTTCTCTTTGTCTCCTCGCCCACCACGGCCACGTTTGGTTTGTGATGTGTCGCCGCACGTCACAACAGATCCGGTCATCGTTGTGAAGAGTCTCGACATGAGTGGCCGCTTGGACAAAGAATCAAAGACCCATGTATCTTCAGCGTTGTCCTCCAGCAATGGTACCTAGGTTCATGGCAAAGCTATGGTATCAGCCTTTGATACATATATGTAAATTACATTTTCAAAATTTAGAGAGAAAATCAAACCCATGATATCATGATGATGATGATGACATTTACACATATATATATAATGTTAATTATAGAATTTTATTGGACACAAAAACACACCAAAACAAATGACACGTCATTTGAAGATGTTTGAAGTTTCATACCACAAACACCTTATATAATCTTTAGAATCTAGACTCTAAACTAAAGACTATATCGGAAAGCTGGACTGGAAAGAAAAGAAAAAACGAAATGAATGTCTTGATCAACTGATCAACCTGCCAATCGCCGCCAATAACCGCCAATAACCAAATCGCAACAACAATTCTCAAACAAACATTGATATCCATACACCCAGTTGCACAAAGCTTGCACAACTCCAAGATAATCATCTGCATGTCGGACTCTGCCACCCCATCCCACAGCGTAGTTGACACTCCTGTGATCAAAGCCTGCATGTTCTGTAAGATCACGCTGTTGTTGATCTTGGGGTGTAGAAAATCGACCTTTTCAGACATCACCTTGGTAAAGATTCCTGTGTCTGTGCCGTTGAGTTCGGTCAGGGATGGGCTGGACATGAGGTTCCACTTCTTCGACAATGCATTGAAGCAGGACCTCGCTGCTTCAAACAACTTCCATTCGGAAAACACTTCTCCAAACTCTGCATGGGATCGAATGAACTCAGCACCTGAGCTCGTTTTTTGTTCAATCAGCATTCAGCACAAGAAGCAAAATGGTTCACTTTTGACGCAACATCATATATGGCTAGTATAAGTCTCAGGGACATTGCCCCTCGTAGTTCTTGTTGTTCCAAGAGATGGAGTTATCATGCTTCCAAATACGTAGCGCGGCTTCAACCTGCACAGTGACAGCTGTTCTTAAATTCTTAGAGGGATGAGGTATGGGTATAAAGAGCTTGATGAGATTGGTGTCCTTGTGTGGGATTTTGAACGGGATGTTGCGCTATGGGAAACTGGAAAGCATAAAGAACAACGTCTGAATCGTGAACATAATGTTCAACAAACCAAGCACGCCAAATTGTCAGAGGTAAAATCAAACCTGCTAACAAGAAACGTCTGGCACGAGCCACATGTGTTCGATGAACGATGTGGCCGACCCAGCGTGAAAAGAATTGTGATAGTGGATCAAGAACTTGAGCACTGATTGCGGTGTCCGGTGGTGGAGGATCCTGGCCTCGAGTCCTTTGCTCAGGCTCAACTTGAGATTGATGTTCTCAGGTTCATCAGCCAACGCCGCAAAAAAAGATTCTGCTAAGCTCGCGAAGGATAGAGCCAAAAAAGGCCCATTCTTCTCTCCCATCTCATTTGGCGCAGGTGACACCAACCAGGGTTCTCCGCGTAACCCTTCGAGAATACCCCTGCTTTTGCAACTCGCCACATATTGTTGCTTCACGCCCGACTGTTGGCGAGCGTTCAGTGGGTGACGAGCTATGTTTCGTCTTTGGTTCGATGAGTCAGCAAAGAATCGGATTCGCTGTTTGTCGCCCACCTGTTGCTGAGATAGATCCCCACGGCTATGTTATCCACTGCGCATGGTTCAAATAATATAATATATATATATATATTGATTTATTTATTTAGGTGTGCACACAATTAAAACGACCAGCGATATCATTATGTAAAAGTGATCTCAGATAGAAAGCAGTTTGATAAGAATAAGCACATATAGTTTTATTGTTGTAAAGATCATGAACAACAGTTCAACAGCTGAACATTGTACTATGTATGTTTCCCACCTGGTAGGTTGACCACATCGCTTCAATCAATGCACGACCTTTGGCTGTTTCCCCGAAAATGGCCGGAACTGAAAGGGCATTGTCAAAGGGGTCAACTCCTGTCTTGGGCTTCGGGATGTCGCTTGCCATCATGGTGGACACCATGGAACCGCTCGCAAAGCGCCAATGTTCAAATCACGGTGCGCCAAGCGAAGCTCAAGTAAGATGATGGTGAACAGCAACAAAAAATAAGGATCAGGATTCATATGTATTTGTATCTGCATAAGTGCATTGCCTTGTTTCGTTTGAAAATTGAAACATACTAATGTCAAGAGGAGTTCGACTGATGTTGGTTGATTGATCCGTGTTCATGTTCCATGGTCCATAGCATAGCCTATGTTACTTCAGTCTGCAGTGAGCCTCCATGCAGCCGGTGTGACCATGTGGCTTTGAAGGCTAGGCTGAACATTGCACATGTGCTGGTTCAACTGTCTGAGCTTTGATTTTATTTGACATTGTTTGATGAAAACCTTTGACCTGTGACCCTGTTGATCCCAAGCATGATGACACTGCGTCACAAGTTTCGCTAGTACAAGCGTGCTGGTGAATCATTCCTGGAAACACACTGCTTGAGGCCCCGAGCCAACCGCTTGACCATTCGGCCAGTGGCTAGTGGCAAAGTTTTTGCCTCAGGATGGCACGGCAGGAGTGATAATTATATGACAACATGAAAAGGAGAGGGGGGCATGAGTGTAACCAACTAGGCTAGGGCCAGGGCTAGAGTTATGATCGTCAAATTGAACCAGTACTTGAAAATTCTGTATCCGGACATCAGGCATTGCGATACAAGCGATGCAACTTTGAAGCTTCCCATACTGGTCCCATACCTAAATCATACTATGAAATTGAATACAAACATTCAGTCCACATTCTAGCACAAGTCGCAAGCCATTCCCCAGACAACAAGTCCTCTGGGTGTATACTTCTTTTGCTGATGCTGATGCAAGACACGGAATTCATTCTGTTTCTAATCTTGACCTTCACACCATTGTCACATGGTAGGTCACGACAGTCCCAGCTGTGGCATCAAGACTTTCAGCGGACATGGTCTTCACACTCGTATGTGCAATGTTGGTTTATCTTATCATAGAGTCATATAGCATATCATACCATATTACAGTATCTATAGTGGACTTGGTTTGTGGTGAGATGACGCAACTGTCACCACAGCTTGAGTTCAATGCAATCTGGGACGTTTGGACATGGATGGCTCGTGTTCCGGCTGTTCGCTGGACACAGCGCCGTCAGAATTCAGCGGCACTAAGCACAAGGTATTTTGCACACCCAGGTTAGCATGGCGCCTCATCAACATTTGCTGCAGTGATAACATACCCGGATCCAAAATGGTCTGGGTCATGGCAAACAAGAGAACCATACCTGCATTTGACACGTGCATTGCGTTGCCGGCTTGGGCACAAGTTGTGGCCCGCCCCGGCCAAGGGAAATACGATTTGCCATTGGATTCTTGCAGCCAGCGAAGTGCAAATGAATTGGTTGGTATGCCACCCGTATATTCAGTGGTCACAGGGATGCCTTGCAAAGAAAGCATCTCTTTTCGTGTCAACCACCGATGGTGGTGTGCACTCATGATCAATGTGGCACTTGCCGTCAATGTCATCATTGCCTTTACAGGGGTTGATTGGTATGTATCATCATATCATATACCCAAATGAAATCAAGAGTCAAAAGTGTTATTGTTGAATTGCTGACTTAAACTTGACTTAAACTATTAATCACTGTTTTGTTGGTCGATAGATGTGACAATCAAGACAGTACTCAGAACTACAAAGAAAAACAATGCTTTTGGAACCGGTTAGCTGCCTGACTCCGCGCAAGCGTGGCTCTGACCAACGGGTTTTGGTTCATGGAGTAGACACCGTTGGGCCACTGTCGGATGTATTCTTGATAGGCATCATGTTCCCATTTTGTGAGGCATGATTCAAAAGCATTGGGCATGAGGCAGTCTGGCAACTGTGTTGGCCCATCCAACTTGCCCCACAGACTCTCAGGTCGCGCTGCGGCCCATTCAAGCTCCTGGTTCAGCTCCACTGGCTTGCTCCTAGGCGGAAGACGGTGGTCAGCGACAACTGTGATATGGAGGATGGCAAAGGATAACAGCCAACAAGGCTGACAACTCGAACTAACGTATAATTTGACTTGATTTGGTTGGCCCGTATTGCATCAGAGTTAGTGGTGGTGGTATTGCTGTATTAAGGTTTGTGTTGAAATCAGTTTTAGTCAAAGAGTCATAGGTTAGGTGGATGATTGTTAGAAACCCAAAACAAAAACATCAAAAGAAATACTATGGTTGCCAGGTATCTCCCAGAAATAAATTTTCCAATCAGCATCCAGACTGCGGAAGAAGTTCTTCACAAACTCATCCAATGTTGATCGAAACCCACGTGTTTTTTCCCGATGCCTTCCCCTTGGTTGCACAAGTGCTTCAATTTGCGTATGTTTTTTTCCTCAACCAATCATATGATAGAAAAATATCATATCAACAAATTCAATGTAAGGCTGAACACAAATAAAGTGCTACACAGCACAGCAGCACAACTACAACACAGCTGAGTTACACTGCCCATTGGCGTACTCTCCGGACGGGTATCCCAAATGACTCTGGCGTGAGAACTGCAAACACCCAATCCCACTCAGGTAAGACCTCATGAAACACACGGCGGGGGAATGCATCGGTGCATTCCTGGATAATCAGAGGCTCACATGTCTTCTTTCTGATCCCGCTCCATGCCAGGAAGTGTGCATGGCTCATGGCTGTTTCCCCTTCCTGAAGTCCTGCCGGGCTCCAAGACGTGCAGCTTGTGCCAGCTATGTGCACAAATGCCACTTTGTCGGACACGCTGCAGTCCTTGTTGTGCACGATGCAGTGAGCATGCCTGAGGGTCTGAGAATGTCTGAGAGGTGAACGCTGTACATTGATCCACTTATAGTTTAGTTTCATGGGTTTAATGCCTTATATGTTATTGATCGTTTGTCGTACAACTAATTCTGAAACGGTAACAACAACAAATAGAATAACATTATGTCAAGAATCGTCTTTACTGCAGATCCGTTCAACACCAGTGGCATGAGTTTCGTCTCCAAGAGGTTGTTCTGATGAAGCTGGGGCAACATAGCTTTGACAGCGGGTACGAAGAAATCTGAGAGATCTGTGAACATACACGAAGGCGGATGGGGATGATGCAAACATTCTTGCTGACTGTGTGGATTCCACTCCTCAGTACAGGTGAGGATTGATAACACATCAATCATTTTGTTATGTCACATGTGTCATGTACGCCCTAGCCCATCATCTTGGCATATCAAGGAGCAAAAGAAACATAATTTATACTCAACATATCCCTAGCGGCAATTGCATGAATATGCTGGGGAGCACCAGTCATTTCAACCCCTGTGAACTCTGAGATAGCTTGCCGTAGCTGACAAAATGATGTGCCTGGTGTGTCTATGCCTGAGTACGCTGTCGAATATGTGAATGCACACATCCTGGTCCCCAAGGACAGTGCAATCCGTTGCTTGTCGGTAAGCGACTTAATGTCAGCAGCTTCATCCGCCATGCCAAACTCTTCGATTTGTCTAAGAAATCCCTGAACCCCAATGTCCTTGTCATCATCGTGACGTAGTCTGGCTGGCAGGTTCACATAGATTTCGACAAAGTCCAAAGGCCATCCTATGAATCATGTGAAAGCCATGAATGACGGACTGGTAGGCTGATAGATGGAGAATAAACAAAAATGCACAGTTCCATTACCTGAAGCCTGTCCAACAATCCAACATCACAATGGCAGATAGACATAACATTTGTTTCTTATGTGGGAACATTGCCAAATGTCATGTATTGTTTGGTGAGCCATTTTGATTCTGGTATGTATCCCAATTTTTTCAATCCTCAATCCATCTAGTCCGAAATACAATTTGTGAGTACAACTACTACGTAGAATCAAAAACAATTTGTAAGTTGTCTCTAGCGCGTATCTGTTGGTCTCAGCAAAGGTCGTGTAGCCACCACGGCTGGTCTGAACAGTGGGTGGCTGATCGGGTTCAGCGTCTAGGTGTGCTTCATCGCTACCTGCTGCTACTGATGGTTCAGGCACAGCATCATTTGGTTTTTCCTCTCCGGGAAGAGAAAAAAGGTTTGGACCACCAATATAAGCCGAAGAGGGAACCGTGGGAGTAGGAGCCTGAGGAAGTGGACAATCCAATGAATGCAGTATTCTAATACCAGTCCGTATATTCGTTGAACAGGTATGGCTACATTCAAGTACCAAATCCCACGGTCCAAGTCCCAATGGTATGTACGATGGTCTGAATTCACACTCCATATTTCGAAAAAGATCAATAACACATATTTCTTGTATGCCAAAAACACCAAATATCAAAACAACTGGATACAAGAAACTGATCCTGAAGTTGGCGGATCTTGACTTTGACTCTGATGATCATTTTGCAGTGAACCTGATTCAACAATGACATCATCAGTTGACTTTGGTTGCGCTGCTGGTGGATCAACGACATGTTCTGCCTCATCAGCCCCAACAGATTCATCCACCGGCTTAGTAGACTGGGGCTCTGCATTGGTGACCTCATTGGTACACTGGCTCTGCTCAGGCTCTGGTGCAGCAGCCACTGTTGACGCGACTTGGCTGGGTGGTGTGGGTTCATCCAGCTTCTCTGGTTGCGCCTTGCTGTCAGGGTTTGATTCTCCTGATCCATGTGATTTTGGCGGTGATGTTGCACCAAAAAAACCTTTCTTGTCAGCTAGTGTACCATCTGATGATGGCACATGCTTGATAGTGCCTCTTCCAAACCCCTGGCGTAGTTTGACATTACTGAGTTCATATGTGTATGGACCCTTGCTCCTGTAGGCCTGCAACATTATTGCATACACCTTCGCCGAAGAGTCTGACTTTGTAAACTCACGTATGTGCGCAGTGGACTTGAAAGTCTTGCGAACATGTTGTGGTGCTGACGCAAAAAAATCTTTGCTGCCATCGTGAACCACAAACACTGTGTGAGATTCAGCATAGGCCACAGCTGAATATGATTTGTCTTTGTCCCGCTTCGTGATCATCACAATGCTATTCTCT